GAAGGGTCCCCCCCCCCCCCCCCCCCCCAGCCAGTTCTCTTTGAAGCTGAGCAGGAGAGAGCCATAGCCTGTCTGGGCCACCCGGTCTCATTCCGGAATGTGCTGAGAAACTGTCCCCACTCCTTCCCAGGGCCCAGGGGAGCCTTGGAGAAAGGCGACAATGGCCACACTATTTTCTCTGGGTGAGTCACAGTGAGGACGAGGGACTCAGCACGCTTTAATACTCATAATTACCGTCTGAGATGATTAGCTTCTGGGCAGACACAGGCAGGTGCCTTCCTAAGACAGAGCAGCGCCCTCTCCTGGCGGAAGAGCACAGAGGCTCTCCCGGGTGGAAACGTCCTCTGGAAGGTGGCGGTCGCAGGGATTCTGGCCTCACTTGCTGCCTGGCCAAGTGTCTCTGCGCGGTGGTAAACCGCACAGCTGTACACGGGACTCCGGAAAGCCTGTGCACACCTCGCTTCACACCCCCACGGCTCCGGGGAGACCATCCGCCCTGTTCCATAGCTAAGACTGGAGCTCAGAGACGCTGAGTCACTCGCCCCAGGCCACACTGCAGACAGCTGGGATTCCCGGCCTCCGGCCTGGCTGTGCAGGGCGTCTGCCTTTGGCCTGAGTCCACGGTCACCTCACCCCCGGGGACGATTCCGGAATGGCCATCTGGAGACCTCGCTTTGTTTGTTCATGGGCTGTTTGCCCCACTGAGGGCCGCCCCAGGAGCTTTGTCTCATCCCTGCTGTGGGCATCTCCAGCCGCCTCTGGGCACGTAAAAGGAACCCAGTGAACAGTTCCGGCCGCAGAGAGCGGTCACCGTTAGTGGTGTCAGCCATGGAGACGGCACAGCGACTGACCTGAGGTTTCTCGGCCTCGGTGCTGCTGGCATGGGGGGCGACTCGCGTGCTGTAGGGCATCTCCCTCCCCTTCGGCCCCCACCCACAGCTGCCAGGAGCAGCCCCACCCTGAGGTATGACAACTCAAAATGTCTCCAGACTTCACTAAATGTGTCCTGGGCCCCAAATGTCCCCGGATTGCGAACCACGGTCCACCATGAGGAGGTGGCTTAGGTGCCCCAGGCCCAGTTCTGAGAGCCCAGCTCCATCACCGTCTTCGTGTGGGTCTGTCCACCCACGTCAGACTCCGAGACAGGGGTCTAACTGGGAGGTGGTCCCGGGTCAGTGTGGTGGAAAGCTGAGGCCCTGGGGCCGCCGGGCCTTTCGGGCCCCGAGAGCGATGGAAGGCCTCGGCCACGTCGTACCCCAGAAGCCGGCCCTGCCCTCTGCCCTCTGCCCCGATGCAGTGCAGGACAGCGTGTGGACGGCAAGCACTGAGGCGTTTCCTGTTGAGAACGGCGGCTAGCGTGCCGTCTGTGGTGGTGACGCGGTCGGGAGGGCAGGAAGTGGAGGCCAGGACCCCGGCTAGGCCACACCTGGTTGCCAGGGATGCTGGGAAGGGTGTCCCCAACACATACTCAAAGGCCCTGTTGCTACAAAAGGGGGCAGGTGTGCCGGGGAGCCACAGTTCTCTCTCCCAGGGGGGCCTCTGTGTTGTCATGGAATGGAGCCCCCCACTCTTGAGCGTCGGGGCAGTTCTCAGCTGCCCGAGGAGGGCTCTTCTGACTGTGTCATGTTAGTTTTAGACTGGCTGGTGCAGCCGAAACCGCGGTGGCTTGGTGGCAATGGCTGGCTCCTGGACGGCCCTGAGGAGGTGGTGCAAGGTACCTGCAGGGGAGCCCGGGGCCGGTCCCAGCAGGAACAC